GAGCGAGCATCGGGCCAATGGCGAGGCGAGCTGAGGCAACATGGCGGCCACGGCCAATCAAGGGCCTCAAAACGACCTTCAAACATTTGCTTTTTGCTCGCTTGTTGTTAAAGGGAGGAGCCAGCTGAGGCGGGAAAGTTAAACACGGAGAAATGCTCTTCCCGATGAGCCCAAGAAGCCGGCTCCTGGCCCAAGCCGAAGCTATTATTTTTTAAAAATCGCCGTTTTCTCGCCATTTCCAGAAAAAGTTTTGCTACCTAGGTGGGTGAAACGAATTTTCCGAAGCACTTCTGCGCGGTTTTCAGTGTAGATATTTCGGAACCAGATAGAAAAAGGGTTCCAGAAACTGAAAACTTGAGTTTCAAAAAATCAATTTTTTTGCCATTTTTCGCGATCCCAAAGCCGCGTCCACCCTTAAGTGCTTGCTCATAGCTTTTGACAGCCCGGCAGCCAACCTGCCGCTTAGGGTGACCTTGTACTCAGCTTTGGAGATGCTGAAGGCTTCATGGACTGAGGTGACGGCTACATGTTTGCGAAACTGTTTCCACAACACCAGCTTCGTTAAAACTGGGCCCGGTGCCGAGCCCCCGAAGAGGACCAATCCGCCGATTTGCAGCAGCGCGTCGACTCCGACTCGAGAGACTTCATTACGGCTGATGATGATGCCGACACTGCGGAGCCGTGCACGGATGAGGACATAGTGAAAAAAGTGTGCGGCAAGAGCAATGCGGAGGAATCAGGTGACGACGACGATTAAACTTTGGAGCTAGCGACCATGAGCTTGCCTGTAGCAATTGGCTACATAGATAGCCTCAGGCAGCTTGTATACGCCAAGGGCCTCGACGAAGAACACGCTGCCGCCTTAAATAAACTCATGACGGTACTTATCACATCTGCGCTGTCGAAACAGACGTGCATTATGGACTTTCTTGCAAAAAATAAATTCATGGTTTTCACTCGCAACTTTTTAAAAGCTGTGTTTCATTTACAACTTCAAGATATAACGAACAGATGCCGCATCACGCTCAGGTTTGTTATAAGCGGGCTCGACTGTACACCTGTTCGTTTATTGCGAATACTTTGAAATTCTCAATAATTTAAATTCAAATCGAAGAGTATTCGAATACTCTACTATTCGTTTGAATATTGGAAGCATACGAAAATTCGCACAACCCCAGAGATATCGGTTATAACAATGTATAAGTGAAGAACAGCCTTGCAATTAATACACTTAAAAATATAAATCTATAACAAATGCCCGGATATAGTGGACCTATTTTTGTATAAGATGCAACTTCATTGTTTATAAAGAGGTTTGAAATACTGCAAAGCATCGCTTCGAGGTGAAATGAACAGAATACCCTCACATCTATCCATCATATTCTAAACATTAAAGTAGAGGTGTGCAAATATTCGAAGTTTTAAATATATCTAAAAAGTTTTTGCTATTCTATTCAATTCGCATTGCACTTTTACTATTCAAAGTTCAGAAAAATTAATATAACGCCATCAAATTGACATGTAGCTTCTTGGTCTTAAGTTTTGGGCACAAACTTGCTAGCCCCTTCCACTGAAGCTCCAAGTTGTTGCCGTGCAATTACCTTGAACGAGAGTACAGAGTTTCATACTAGAAGCCAGGAGGTCCATTGTCGATGCACAAAATGCCCATCAGCAGTTCATAGCATGCGGTGCAATTTGCTGCTCGCGGAAAAGCGTATTCACTCTTGCATGTCGGCTAGCAGGATGTCCTTACCCACAAAGCTTGCATTCATCTAGTTCACCGCCGCTGCAAGCAGAGCTGGGCCATGTCACAGCTCTGAGCAGCAAGCTCAGTCGTACTTTTTGTCTGACTTGAAGTACGTTATACTCAACTGCGAGTTCAGAATCATCTCGCGTTGTAAGCAGAACCTCTCCCGCTAAAGCGCGACTCGACTCTAGGTTATCGTTGACCCATGAACACAATAAAGTGCAAACGCATCACTGAGTAGCGTGATTTTCGACAGCTGTGACCTCGCAATGCACAAACAGCAGGCGACACTCTCCGGAAGGCTTGCATCATCTCCCGAAGGGAGATTCAAACCAATAGTGAGGTGCGCTAGAACAAGATGGAAGATGCAGCCAATCAAAGGCTTCAAAACAAACTTTATCCATTTATTTTTTTTCAATGCTTGTTACTGAATGGAGAACCTAGCTGAAGCAAAAATTTGAAGGTGGATAAATGCTGTTTTCAAAGGGCTATAAATGCCGTGCCCTGCCTGCTGCACCATTGCACAGTTAGTAATATTTTTAGTAAATAATTTACAATATGCTTGTACAATTTACAATTGCCTGGTGCACTGTATGTTGCATGGAATTTTCGTAGCCCTTATGGGGGAACATGGGTCCTAGGGCTCTCTCATTTATTTTTTAACCAAATGTGACAAAAGTTGGCATGCTTACTTAGTTTGTTCTCCGGATTCTAAAAATGTAGTTATTTTTTCTGTAGCTTCATTAGTTGATTAAATAATCGAGATAATTTCTATTGTTCTTACCATAATAGAAAAATAACCACCTGTCAAAAATTTATAAATAACATAGGCATTGACAGTAGAAAGCATAAGACATGCAACACAAGAAGCACTTTTTGGAATGGGTCCTTATTTCTTACTTTACAGTACACTAAACTTTACAGCCCTGAATGTGGCCATTGTGTGGTCACACAAAAAACTAGTTTGAAAAACTTGCATCAAGAGAAATCAAAATCTGCTTCCTATGTTGTGTGCTCCAAACATATAGCTTCATGCTGCAAAATAAAATATTCTGCTATCTGTAATAGTTTCAGATATATTGCAGTAATTTCCATGCAGGGTTTACAAAATTGCCATTCTGAGAAAATGAAGAAAACAAAGAATTCTAACATTTTTAACTGTAAAAATGTATGCACTTATAGTTACATAGCCACTGACATATAAATGAATGCTATAAAGCCTAAGGAGTGCAATGCTGCAAGCTGATCGAAAATTGAACGAGTACTTCTCGAATTACAGCACAGTAAAGTTCATTGCATGTAACCAAATACAGAAATTTTTATATTAAAATAAAAAAATGAAGCTGGCCATTACAAAAAGGCTCCCAGCATTGTTTTTTGTGCACATTTAGCTACATTGTGCAAAAACAATTACAGCTCTAGCTGTCCTAGGTCCACTTTTACCGAACAAGCAAAAGAAAGAGGTCAAAATCTGTGCTTCGAGAATAATGCTGTTGAAACTTAATTTCGCCGTTCCGAGGGAAAAATATCATGGCACACATACTTTTAGTCAGTTAATATGCACCGGGAATGTAATAGGACTGATTGTTTGTACGAGCGTGTCGTTTCTTCTAGTCCTGTGGCAAGTTGTCGCCATGTGCTCGTCTGCCGCGAGGCCTCTTATCAGTTTGGTGACTGTACTGACGGCGATGTGCGACAAACGTGCGTGCATCATCCATGATTCGTCGAATAACACGGCGATGTTTTCCGGCTTGTCCAGAATAAGTTACCCGTAAGTGCCGTAAACGAAGGTTGCTCCCTCGCTCATCAATTTCGAGGCTACCTGAGTGCCGAGGTGTTAGTTTCCTTTTCACGTAAGACTGCCGCATTTTGGAGCGGAGATCGCGATAACGTTACGAACACGTCGTTAAAGGCAGTCTACCTGTTGCCAGTAGCCTCCATTGCGGGGGCCGCGAGCATGTTCACTGCGAACGGATTGACTTTCTGTTGTTGGTCAACGCGCAGCGTACTCCACTCTGACGACCCGTCGCGCAGTTCGAGGTCCTTTCGTCAGGTGGGGGGAACCACGACATCGGCGGGTTTAGCGATAGGACTGCGCTTCCGTTCCGTCACTACAAAGATTGATATCTCTGGTAGCTTCACTTCTGCTTTTTACGTGCCGTCCTCTAACTGAGGAGGCTGCAAAACACAGCCGTTCTCAGTAACGTTGTCGGCAACCAACGGGCTCGTACGTGAGTTAGGCCTACATCAGTGACTCGGCAACCGCCGTTGATCGTGTCGAGTTCGTTATCCTCGTTGTCCTGAGCCATAGCGGGGATCTTTCTGAAGTTCACAGCGAACGAACAACCGCCACACCCGCTTCACAAATTACTGTGGCACGGAACTTCTTTACTGCCGCAAGCAGTCAGTAGCACCATGACAAAATGGCGCATGTCCGTGCGTGTCACGGTGGTGAAGCAGACGCCGAAAGCGCCTCTTGGCCAATCGGATGCCTAAATTTGGTCACGTGCCCCAAGCAGCCAATTGAATCGCGCGCTAGTGCTTCTCGATGACGCGTTTTTGCTAAAAAACCAATGAGCAAGGTGAGCCAGCGGTGGCGGGAAATTGAAGATGAAGAACGACCCTTCCAAACGAGACCAAGATTAACACGATAGCTCGTGTGTAACGGCAACAGTTTGGCGCAGAAAAAGCGCGATTTTAGCGTCAATTTGCGCTCACATTCATCTCACAGAAGTGTTATAAATTGATTTTGCGCCAGAAATAATGATGCGAGAAGCTAAGAACTTCTCAGATAAGTGCAAAAATAGGCACAGATTCCGAAAATGTCAGCTTCAAAAAGTCCATTTTTTTGCGATTTTTGGCCTTCTGAGACCCGTGTCCCCCCTTAAACACTGGGTTAATGGAACCAATCATGTAACAGAAAGGTTTGTGGATCACATGACTGTTTTGGCAATGCTACACATGACTATATGAGAACTGTGTTCATGTTGCCTTAAAGACTTGTAAATATTGCAACAGTGGCAAGGAACGTCACAGATTAAAGAACATAGGAATTACAGAGGAAGAGGGCAAGCATACAACTGTTCTCAGGTGGCGACAATTTGAGTGTAAAAAAAAGTGAAGTCTTGACTATCTGTGTGTCTGAACGTCCCATTATAATGTGGTGTTGCCTGGTGCACTGTATGTCGCGGGGAATTTCGATCACCGCTGACACATTAGGTCCACGGGGCCAACCATGGTGCAAACAGGAGTGTAAGGAGTCCGAAACGACCGTTTGGCTTTATACATAAGACTGTGTGGGAATCAAATGGAACTCAGCTTACAGGGCATAACAGCAGGAGGAAGGTAACAAATGTAAGCGCATCACAAAGACCTTGGTGTATCTGGCCCTTTCCATACTAATTAAATGAAGACCCCTCGTCTAGCAGACTACCGATGAATTCAGTCTTCCCCAAATCGGACATTCACCGAGGCAGCGTTCTGGGGCAGATACTGTAATTAAACCAAAAAATGATCAAGTTAGTAAATGTACTTAAATGTATCGAAGCACTGTTATGTTGTAATTTAATAGCTCATACATGGTATAGAAGCAAAGGCTTCGTTTTTACTAGGAAAGTGCCGGAGAAATTTTTGAATAACACAGAGGGTTGATTTTATTAACTGATTTTTTCAAACCTAAGATATGGTGACTGCAGCTTGATGCTGCCCTGCGAAAGCCTCCACACAGCGGCCGAACAACATTCAGCATGGACCCGGCATAAATGTGCACATACGATGCATTGTGTTAATACGAGATCAGCAAGGCTGTTATGCGTACTCTGCCGCCATGGCCTGTCACCGAAACCTCACACGTTGCTCAAGGTGGAGCAATGCCAGTGCTGCGCATAGTTACTGCACTCAGTCGCTTTCTCCGATGTAAGCAACGATGAAAACTGTTGCACACCACAGAACCAAATGAGCTGTAGTCTAAAATCACATTAAAAATGGGGCAACCACCTGAATTACAAAACCTCCGATATTTACGGCAGCAATGTTTTCCGTTTCATGGCATTACATGCACATAAGAATCCCGCAACACCCAGCACAACGCATGAATTTTAGATGCATTGGCTCACTGAGTCTCAAGTCAGCTTATCCCTCAAGATTCATGTAACACTCCTTGCCAATCGAGATTACTTGCCGATAGCAGCCGTGCCAACTGCACATTTATGAGCATAAACCAAGCAAGCAGAGAAGGAACAAGACGCGAGTTGGTGCAGCTAACTGACCTGATGATGTTCCTCGGCTTGTAAAGGAACATGATTCAACCCTGACTGTAACAAAACACTTCCTGAACAATCTTTACAGAAGCGCTGACACCATTTTTCGAAGGCAAGTTCACTTTGGCATACTGCTCTTCCATATACAGAAACGGGTCTCAGCAAGTGTGACGCTCAGAAAATGCTGACACTCGTGTTTTGATATTAATATAGCCAATTTTCTAAGGGCGCACCTACTGAACACGACAGTAGCTTGACATCAGGCCAGAATACTAATTCTGGTGACCTCACATGGCAGTCTGGCTCGTGTTAAGTTCGGCGCTTGGGCCGAAAATGGGAGCGGAATTTTAGTTTTTGCGAACAAGTCGCTGAGGGGCACTTTGCCTGCGGAAAGCCGTTCCAGTCCAGCCATTGTCATTCCAAGCCACCAAGTAAGATGCCCTGCAGTCCGGCGTTGCAATCGACCATCAGGCTAGAGTACTAATTCTGGTAACGTCACATGGCAGTCTGACTTGAGTTAGGTACGGCGCTTGGGCCGAAAAGGGGAGCAGAATTCTAGGTTTCGCGAACAAGTCGCTGAGGGGCAGCTTGCCTGCGGAAAGCCGTTCCACCCCAGCCATTGTCATTCCAAGCCACCAAGTAAGATGCCCTGCAGTCCGGCGTCGCAGTCGACCATAATAGGTTTTGGTCGGGACAGCGGCGTCGCTTTGATGCTTCGGCCTAAGCGTGAGACCAGTCGCCCCAGCGACTTTGCCATGCCAGTCAGGGGACACCATGGTGCCACAGTAGAAGTGTAGTGACTCCGCCCCCCGTCAGAAGCGTTGGCGTGGGCAGGTGGGGGCGGCCATGTGGAAAGTGGTGTATGTCTAAGAATTGGACAGCGCAATTTGGTGCCCTTTCCCTGATTCACGTATCTGGGAAAACAAGACCGTTTATAATCAGCCCTCGCGGGCTGGTTCGTGTGCTTTTGGTGCCGATGCCTTTTTCGATGTAGAGGTTTCTGGCCACGAATTGTCAAGATGTAACTCTTATCAATGTAATCTATGTAAATAAACTTCTGTAAATATCTCCCGATAAAGGCGCCTTCCTCCCGGCACGATGGGCTGAACGGGTCCGGTGGCGGCGGCCAGCTACTCATGACGAGACCCGCCAGACTTGAGCCGCAACGACTGGCAGCAGCGGTGGGATGCTGTCAGACCCCCGATCCTATCACTAGTTGTGATGGTACCAGGTATCAAAGCTTCCGAAACAGCCACTAGTGCATCGCCAACAAAGCCACAGTGACCAACGACCGAGGAAACGTCACAGCAGGTACATTTCGACTGCTTTTACATGAGCACGTGACAAGAAGCTCAAACTGGGCTGTGATGGGGGTTGCAGTCGGAAACAAAACTAGCTTTGTTAAAAACCTAATGTAATTACTTCTTGAGAGTGCTTTCACACTTAGCAGTATGCTTCCTAGGTTTCAGAGGGCATGGCCTTTCATTTGACCAAAAAAAATAAAAATGATGTGAAAATTTTTAACAGCTGTTATAGAGATTGCAGCCTAAACTTCATTGCTTCAGCATAGCATTCAAGCTGGCAGAACGGCTGACGCAGGCAGCATTAATACCAACGAGGTGCCTGATGCAAAAGGCAACAACCAAAACCGGAGTCTTTTGCAATCCATGGCAACTCCTGCAGTGCGCCTGCACCCACGAATTTTATTCCAGCGAGCGACCAACGGCAGTTCCTGATTAGAGGCTTTTAGACTATTCGCTGATGCAGAGAATCTTGAGGGCTATAAAAGAACCAAGCTGAGTGAAGATGGAGGAGAGCGACCAAAAGAACCCTGGATCGTTGTTGCATACGAGTGTGAGCCCATAAGCTGTGAGTGCCGGTGCCGAATTTGTAACACTCCCGTTTATCCTGTGCATCCATCGCACGATGGAAGATATGACACCCAACACAGTGGACGTGAAAACAAAAGTGATCCTCATCATGAACCGGCATGCACCCTCTTTACTACTACAACATGTGTAGCTACACCTCATTACAACAGATTGTGAAGATGATTTTGTAATGTTGTAAAATCCAAGTACTGCTACCACAGAGTTTAATGGAAACACTATATTGGTTTGTTATAACCAAAAGGAATTACCAGACATCCACAGATTCATTCTCAATGCTGCACAAGAAAATTGATTATTTTGATAATCACATCTTCAGTTTCTGTAGCCCTTTCTTTACCAGATTCAAAAATACATTCACTGAAAACTACGTCGATGTGCTGTAATAAGTTTTTTGTGCCTGCCAAGATGGTGAAAATTATTGTGGAAGTAAAAATTAAGAAATTTATAGCTTCAACTTCCCAATCAATGGTCACATGGCCCACAACATTGAATCATTCATGTTTTTGCCGCCAGAGGCACCACAGGTACTTCTTCATGACTTTCAGAGAAGAAATAAAAAATATAAATCCACCTCTCACAAAAAAGTAGGATTGGTTTGAATCATTGGAATGGACAAACTTTCTATTAGTGGAGCTCTCCTTCCATGTTCAGGTGGAATGATAAGTACAAGCTTCAGATCTGCTTAGGATGGGTTACACTCCTGAGATTCGTGATGCTAGTTTTCGGAGAGTGAAACATGTGGTGACATGGAGTCATTTTCAATTAAAACTAGCTTCATGCTTTTATGCGTGAACTTAAAGCGAAAATTTTGCATGATTATGAGAATGTGTTCCCGCAGTCCGATCGCTTCGTTTTGTGAGTCGCAAAGACGAGCAGAAAGACTTCTGAGAAGGTCCCTGTGAACTTTGTTTTGTTTTTTCCGTGAGAAAACCTAGCTTGAAGCAGCCTTGAATTTTGTCTAAAAAACCAACCCCTTTTCATTTTGCTAGTAGTATCAAACTGCTGAAGGTGGGCTTATAGTGTACTAGAAGAGGGCAGTGGGCTCACTCTCCGGCAGAAGCTATGCAATGGGGTGGCTCTGTAAACGTTGCCAATTTGTGCTTCTCTCTTTGCCCGGGTGGCGGCGCTTGGCATCGTCATCAATAAAACTTTGGAGGAGCATTGCACCTGAAAGCACCAGCCAGCCTGAGTCAGGAACCATGATTAATTCGATTTTTTCCGAAGTCACTTCTTTGCTTGTCATTTAATTCCAAAGTCACTTCTTTGCGGTCATATGTGGGGCAGAACGGCCAATGTATTAATGTGCCCTTAAGTGGGGACGCAGCCCTTGAAAACGGAAAAATCGCAAAAAATTCGACGTTTAGAAAACCATATTCTTGGGTTGTATGTCTCGTAAACTACCTACTCTGTAATTATCATCACCCAATTCAACTATAAAGTTTTTAAAAAATGCCATTTTCGAGGCCACGGTGGCATCCAAACTGCGCAAAAAATGCCAATATCAAACCAAACTTTGCGCCTGCTCCATTCCCAGACCATGCAGTCGTCCCGCGACATCTTGGTGTTGTTTTTAGTGTGATTTCTTTCTACTGTATTTCGTTTGCCAACATGCAAAATGGCTTCAGCAGCACGGTTGAGCCGCTATTGGCGTTTTCCCGCGATGCAACGCGGAGGGCTGATTGGCTAGAGCAGCGCATTCATTCTCACGAGGGAAAGCGTGCCCGCCCTCGCTGCTGCGCAGCAGGCAATGGCGGGCGCTCTTTCTCCGTTAGCGCGGTCTCACACGTTGTCGCTCTGCTACGTTCGCCTTGGCCAGCGTCTTCTGCGCCGCTTTTTGTCTTTTGCACTGTCTTTTCCATCATTTCCTCTTCTTGGTTTCTTTTTGCGCTAGTTCTGTGTTCTTTATCATAGTGCGCACGAGCCCGGTAATGAAGCCGAAAACAGTGCGGAGGTCCTGTGCACGACACACGCTATGCGGTTTGAACAAGCATAGAGATCGCGCTATTTTGCTGCTAGTGCCAACTTCATAGACGCTTGCCATCATGGAACTGTGCTGTCAGCGGTCACTAGTCGAGAATCCGACATATCGAGTGTGACTAGAGCCACCTGAGTGTTTCCAAGCACGTCGGACTCGGTACGCGCTCCGAAGCAGCGCTATCGAGCGTGACGCCGTGTGTTTCCGAGATTGTCGGACCCAGCACGATGCTTTATGCTAAAAAAAAAAATTACAGACATCAAAAGAAGGGGACGCGGCGCGGCGTCTGTGTTGTTCATACGACCTTCGAGTGGCTCCTGCTTCCTACAATGATATTCAAGTGAATTTTTCGAGTGCGCGTTCAGC